TTTTTTTTAAACAGTGGCCATACTTTCTCGTCCTACGACCGTTACAGATAGGCCCTCCATTAAAATCATTCAATATTTAATATTTTCTGAAGCGCAATACTATTCAATATGATGTTAAATTTAGGAGTACTCTATTAAATTAAAATTTCATAGCCTGATCTACAAATAAACTATCTTCAAAATACATATACCGAGATATTTGTAAATAGATTTTAAGTTGTCGACTTTCCAGACAAGATGTATTTAGCAATTTGAAACCTGTTATGTATTTAAAGATAAAATGTTTCTCTCACTCAAATTTTTTGTTTCATAACAAAATTTATGATTAAGATATAGTGTACAATTATGGATATCAATTGAATTATAATGTGCTGTATTAATGAGGTTAATCATTATTTCATGAGTAGATAAGACAGTTAGAGGTCAAGGGTCAATAATGGTGAGTATATACATGTACATGCAGAGGTTAGAGGGGTCAACTACAGATCATTCTGCTGAGGGAGGGCTGAACACAGGCAGGCAGTATACATACAATTACTAGTTAGTGACAAGGTCAGACAACATTTGGTCACCTGGTTCTCTATTTCAACCGTCAAAACAAGTTCAGCATCCTCCTCCTCTTGCTCCTCCTCCTCATCATTAGATGAGTTGGAGGCTTTGCGCACAGGCACCAAAATGTTGAAATCATGCATTTCCTCAAGTTCTGATCGCACCTGCAAGTTTTAGGTTGGTGTGGATATACAAGGACTAGTTTTACATGTACTAGTGAAGTTAACTCAACCTCCAATTTGATCAGTGTACACATGCGTCTACAGTGAGTTACGATTGTGATATCAAATGTTATCTGCTATTGCTGGATTCACAAATCTTTCTAAACATTGACTAAAAAGTCTGCCTTCAAATTTCTCTTTCAGAATTGTTCACGATCTCAAAGGTTTAATTCCTGTCGAAATTTCATTAACCCTCAAAACTTTATGTTTTTACTCAATTTCTTTTTCACAAATGTTGTATTTGCAGTTCTATGAAATTATCAGCCATATTAATATCATACTGTAAACAAAATGCGCCACACTGTATCAACAACATTAAAATTAAAATTTGCTCAAAATCCTTCCACAGTACTGGGCATACTAGTACTTGTAGTCCTATGCTTATTTCAAGGTTGGAGAGTGTAATTCATCAACATATAACTATAAATCACCAATTTATCCTATACTTTCTGTATTACAACTGACAAGAACTAAATTACAATTACCAAACATATAACTACATGCACATCCTTTGTTTTTGTTTTAATCTAAATTTGTTGTGTTGCACTTTTAATAAAGCTGACAAAAACCTGGTGTGAAGCTAGCAATTTAAATGAGTAAACCTTGCTATTTACATCAATATTTCATGGCGGCTTCATCAAGTCAGGAAAAAACAATTGTTTCTTATACTCAATGATCGAGTAAAGTGGAAATATCTTAATGTAATAGAAGATGCTACCAGGAAGGAAATAAAAAAAGAAAACAAGGCCTAGATAATGAAATTAAAACCAAATTCAATTAGAATTAGCAGGCAGACAATTTATATCAATATTGAAGTTATTTATCTGCAAAGATCTATAATTTGAAAACTCTATATATTATATGGATACAAGTTTCATTTGTTTGCATTAAGTATTTTTCCTAACAGGACAACATATATCTCTGGGGCTCTAGCTATGGAATAGGGTAAACCATTATGGTTTTTACTTGACACTATGAGTATATTCCTGATTCATCATATATATAAATTACTCTGGATGGCCGGCGTTAAAAGTCATCAAAAACAAACATCAAATTTTAAAGCCTTTTTTTTAATTTATTGACCAGATAAACTACATTGCGTAGCAACTCATAAATATTGTTTGAAGATTACATAACTGTAAGACAAAGTATTTTAGGAAGTTAAGCTGATATACTTTCCAATATATATACTGTAACAAAGATGTCGGCAGTCAAAGTGTTATTAAATGGGGAATCGGTTTTCTCCTTTCTCTCTATACACAACTGATAACATGGCTTGTGGATTCAAGCTAATAATACATAGTCACAAGCATGAGGTAATTTCAGTGTTATTTCAAGTTTCAGGATCAAAGGTCATCTCTGAATCCAACTACCTAGATAGCTATAGCTATTTGCTACATCACTCTTTAAAGCAACACTTCAAGACAAAGCTCAAGTATTAACTATACAGAAGCACAGGGACAAAAAGCTAAATAGCTACAAAGTTTAATTTCCTTTCTTCCTAAAACAAACATATTACTGAATTTAAGAAGATTGTTGGTAAAATAATAAGATGTAAGTAACTACATAAACAAAAATTAATGAACAGAAGAATGGCAAATTAATACTTAATACAATAAATTTGATTTTAGCACAAAATAAAAGACAAATTCGAACAGTAAGTAACAATAAAGGCCCAAAATAAAAGACAGACTAACAACAACATAAGTCACATAAAGCATACCTCTTTTATCGCACTTGCTAATGCACGAATCCGCTCACGAGGAAATTCGTGTAAACGTTGTTTATATATTTCCATCTTGGATAAAATGTCAACCATATTTCTCCTCACTGTTTTCACCCTCATGTTGTAATACATTTTCTTTTTCATCACTGTTGTCTGCAAACCAGAAAAGAAGAAATGAAGGAATAATTTGATTTGGACATGTTACACTGACCTCAGCCTTGAAGAAAGAGACCTTTGAACTTTGACGCCTTATATTGATTCAATTTAGGACAGATTTTATTTAACTTTCAATTGACTGAAATATTAATGCATCAAGTATTGATTTTTGAAAAGGAGTCAGGAGGACGATAATCTGAGTTTTTAATCAGTAGCAGTGATCTACAAGTGAGAAGAGATGAGCTGACCTCGGCCATGTCCACAATAGACTTGCTGACGTCGTAAGTGTCCAGTGTTGCCAAGTGGGGCATGTGGTACAGTACATGTGTGGAGTAGTTACAGAGCAGGCTGACTGGCGCCGGCGAGTAGTTCGGGTCCTTCATACTTAGGCTCTTTAACTTGGACAGTCGCATCAGGTGGGTCAGGTCCTACAGGCAAATCATAACAAAATCATTTTTAATACATTAATATACATGTTGTTTGTTTGACAGATGTCTTACTAATTAAACACAGTTTGAAGCTGGGCTTGATTAAGAACAGAAATGATACAATATTAGTTCCAGACCATCAGTGATCAGACTGATGTCAAATAGGGTTGAACTTCAAAGGCTATTCCTGGTTCAAAATTAATTTCTCTGAATTCAGCAATTTAAACAAAAATATAATATAATTTCTCTGACAGTTGCATCATTGTAACAAAACAGAACCAATTTTAAAATAAACTATGATTATCTTTAGCTAGTTCTAATACATTAAGTACCGTACTTACCCGTAAGGATGATATGCTGTTTCCTGACAGGTTGAGGTCTTCTACACTCTGATTGGCATCTAACGTATGACCTAAATAAGGACATATACATGTATTAGTAGAATAGGTATGGATCTTATCAAGTAAGTTTATATTTCTATAAAATACAAGAATTTACAATATAATGGAATCTCCTTGTGACATATGTATTTTCTGTACGTCAAAAAGCTAAATTTGTAGACATAAATAAATGGGAAAGATGTTATCTGTTGCTCATTGAAATTTTGAAAATAGGTAATCAAAAATTCTTTCATAGAATATAATATGGAGTCAGCTTACATTACGTTATCATTTTGAGAGAAAAATTGACAAAATTTCCTGGTAACAAAATGACTGTATATGTTAAAACACTTACCTATTTTGGTAATACAATTTTGTGCAAGATTCAACTCTCTTAGTTTGCATAAAGATGAAAGGTTCTGAAAAAAGATATACAAAAAGTGTCTTTCAATGTTAACACCAGGTCCATGGGACTGCTTTGCAAATATCGGGACTTGAAACCTTGGAATTTCTTAAAAAACAACCGGAAATTTTCAGCACATTTACCCCTATGACCTTGAATGTGGGCCAACATATTATAATACAAGTTTTGGGCTATGTAATGATTGTTTCATAGACTTTTACGCTCTTTTACAATTTAAGTTATTTGAATATCTTAATTATTCTCTATCATCTCATTTCACATTTACTATGGAATAGCTCAGGGTTCCCCCCATATCTCTCCCCCATTCTACATGTACTACGCTGCCTACCTCTATGTGGACTATACTGTTGCTGTTGAGCCATAGCACCTCCAGGTCCACTAGGTGATCCAAATTCTCTATCTTACTGATCTTATTGCAAAATAAGTACAACTTCTGCAGTTTCTTTAAAGCACCAATACTTTCTATTCTCTACAAACAGAAGGAAACAGACTTACACAAATAAAAGTAACAATACTAAAACTACCAGTGGAATATGAACATTATTTTATACAGCTAGACATACTAGTACATATATGTAGAGTATTGTAATTTTCATAAAAAAGAAGACTGTTTTCATACTTTTATTTACAATGTTCTGTAACTTTTGGCTTCAAATGTGACATATGGTGACAATATCAACAGTGTCATAATAAAGCCAGATCATTAATTTTCAAGAGTGATAACTGTAAGAAACTTCATACATAAAAACATTTTATAATGATGTAAAATCAAGTTTAATTTTCTAAATGTGACATTTATAATGAACTAGACACTGACCTTGACCTCTGTCTCGCTGATCCAGAGTTCCTTGAGGTTAGTTAGACATGACAGGCCCTCAATCTTCTGTATCTGTTGGTCGACAACGGTCAGGCAGGTCACGTTGGGGAAGTGTCTCATTGCCACAATCCTCGGCATCCCAGAGAAGAACATCTCAAGCACAGTACAAGTAAAAACCTCTCCATTCTCTATTTTGTTGTAATTTAATCCATTAACACTGCACTGTAAGAACAAAACAAAATAGATTCAGTTATTCAAAATTGACAAAACTATTCACATTAATTTTACTCATGAACGAAAAAAAAACAAATGTTGAAATACATTTTTTATACTTTCGAGTTGTATTCAATGCTGATGAGTGTGTTGTTCTTCGTTTAGAACACTAATTCATACAATAACACAAAAAAGGCAACTTGAAAACCTATGCGACAAATTACACAACATCTTATCTAAGAAACACTTACAATTTCCCTGAGTATTTCATCCTCCTCTTCTTTCATGGACTTTGGCTTGGTGGCAGACTGTGATGTGGAGCCTATGAGGGATCCTGTCTGCTGCCCACTAATTGTCCCCCCTGTCTCCATGGTGCTCCCTGAGGGCCGCAGCAGTCCTCCAGAACTGGACCCTGACAGGGACCCAGAGAGGGACCCATTAGACAATGACATCACGTCTCTGTTCGGTCCCAAGAGTGGCAAACCGGTTTACTTCCCATGGTAGGGTAGAGGTGTTTCAACATTTACTGTACAATACATATCCTATGTAATATCTGTGGCAATGTTGTCTTTCAGCTCCACCAATAACATCTTAACTAAACACCATCTGTAAGATCAAGTAAAACACCATCAGATAAATTCTTGCTACAAATTGATCAGCACATTTCAATCAAAACACCAACCAAAGATTAAGTGCTTAGGTTTTGTCCTAATACTGAGTTTATTTCAGTGATCAGTTAAATCCATGTACACATTTTGGATTACTGTATGTAATGACAAACATACTATTCACCTGGTAAACTTGTAGAATGACCATAGGTAGTTCAATCCAAACACAGACTTTAGATTATATATACATGTACTTATGGTAAATACTTTATGGATGTTTAATGTCTATAATACCAGACACAATAAAGAATACATAACATTTCAGCTTAACCTGTCTATTCTGGACTCAGGTGATTACAACCACTCGCTATGTGGACATTATACATGTATATAATTTATACAATATGGCAGCGCCTGTAACCAGGAAGTACCTTATAATATAGACTGGCTACCAGCCCCGAAGTTTTTATGAGGAATTTCTGTCAGGAATTAGCTCTAGGTAAAGCAAATGGTTCATGACTGAAATACATTAACCTCTATATCAGAATTTAATTTGAAACTTTGCATTTACTTCTTTATGATAATTTGTTTAAATGGAAAAATTGACAAAGATTTAACTTTAAGCAATATAAATTAAATACAGATAACACCTGTAGACCATACACAGTTACAATATATAATGAGTATTAACATGTGACATCGTGTTTTCCATCAACCAAGTTTGGTTTGAAAATCCATGAATAATTATATTAACCTTATTCAGCTAAAATGTTATGTAAAAATTAAAAGTATACAGCAATTAAATAGTCGGAGGCAAAGCTTGATGAAAATTAATTCAGACCCACTAGCTATAATAATATAGGTCCCCAGCTGCTTGACTGGAATTCAATTGCTAACACAAATTAAGCGTCTGGCATTGACATAGATTGACCAATGATAGCTCGTGTTACCACCCTACAATTTATTGTTTATGTTTTACGTCCTATTAACAGCTATGGTTATTTAAGGACGTGCCA